CTAACAAGAGAAGCCCACCTTTCCACTCCAGAGATAGTCCCTAATAGCTAAGCCAACTCAATTCTCCAAAATGTTATTCTCTGGATTAGGAAATGAGATTTCCCTATAATGAGGTCTCTAGGCACTCTGCTGTTTAGGTTGTGTCTTCTGCCATTCATCACTTGGGAATAGCAAATGCTGTCCTGGGGAGAAACTCAACTACTAAGATAGACAACTTGGTACCTTATTAAGAACCCCCAAGCCAGAGTTACTACTTGTGACACAAAGATGAGCTCCTTCCAGTGGGTGGAGCTGAGACCCTAGAGGAACTTAATGTGACTATTTCTGTCCTTCACGTTAGTCTCAGAAACTGAAACACTGACAAAGGCATTATTTTCTTCTTATCTAAATAGTTTCTTTTAGGTATTGCATGTGTGGTGATACCTAAAGATTTTCCAGAGAGGGGGGAATTTTCGATTAAACCATAATCGAAACTTGCATAGTGCAATATTAGTCACTCTCTGATAAGGAAATTCAGAGACTATTTGGTAAATAGCATAATTCTACAACATGATCTAAAGTTAGATAGTACATGAGTTTTTTATAATATTTAAAAGAAATGAGCAATTATCTGAGAAACATTTTAAAACTGTAAAAATTCATTACTATTGTAGAAAGTAAAATTTCCAGTGGTGCATGTGACCCAGCCATGTATACAACTCTCTAGAAGACCCAAGAAACAGGCTGTTTGGTGAGTTTCACTTTCTTGCATGCTAGAGTGGAAATGTTTATTTCAGCACTTATCACAAGCCAGTGATAGCCTGTTAAAGAAGAAGAGCATGCTGTTCTCTCATAGGGAAGAATGTAATTTCTAAGATTTTGGAAATAGAGATAGACAAATGTAGAGAGAAGGGCTTTGGCCTTTAATTGGATCCTACGCCGAATGCTATCTGTTTCATTAGAGCAAAGACCATCTTGGTCATCTTTGTTTTCCTAACACTAGAGAGTATTCATACTTTGTGACTGCTCAATTAATTAAACTACTAAAGAAAAAAATGTGCTTGGTTAAAATCAAGAAAAAAAATTGATTTAAGCAAGTCAAAGGGCAGAGATATTTTTGAAATTTCAGAAAATAGGGTAAATTTCCTTTTCTAAGGAAAACAATAAATAGCACAATCATCTAGGGTGGGTCAAGGATGGGTTATGTTGTACCATCACTGTCAGTTACGTATAAACAAGGAAAGGAAGTAAACACTTCAAAGTCAAAGATATTATCTAGATTTTTAAGATTTATGTTCACCTGTCCCTTCCTTCTTTTTGTTTTACCGCTCGTCTTCTTTTCTTTGCCTACATTTTCTAGAGCCTAGTGAGAAATCCTACTCTTGTCAATGTTTGAGATCTTCCTTTTTCACTCTGTAGTCTTCTACTAATGATTCTATCTGCTAGAGTCCCCAATCATATAATGACCTTTTTATGGGTGTTAGGAATTTAGAGCTGACTAATGGTCCAGAGGAGGAATAAAACAGAAATACTCCAGGCCATAGGCATGAGTAAGATCTTCTGGTCAATAAAATGGCATTAAATTATAAAAAACTTACACAGATAAATGTCAAGGTATACAAGTGTAATGGGAACTGTGACTTGAAGTAATGGTCTCTATACTATCAATTATAACTCAAGCATGGGATCTAGGTGTCACTGTAGATTGTTCCTAGATATATTAATTGGATGGCTACTAAGACCCAAAGGAGAAGAGAAATGTTAGGCATCTTCAGAAAGGGAATTGAAGGCAGAACTGAAAATCATATACTATCTAATTCCAGCTTGTGTTAACATAGTACATATACCAGTCCATCGATCTTCTTAGAATGAGTTTTAAAAATCATGAAAAAGTCCATATGAACAATTCGAAGGGAAATGATACAATTTATAAAGTCAAGGCTTGAAACAGGCTGTTAGTAAAATGCTAGACTGAAGTTCATCATCTCCACTTCTTATCCCTCACCTGTTTCCTTAAAAATTGAAGCTGGCTCATTTGTGGAAATAAAAAGGAATAAGTACTAATAAAACTATGGTTTATTTAGGGCTTCCTATGGATCAAGTGCTAGGTCAAACTTTTCAAATACATTAACCTTATTTAATCCTCACAGGAAATCTATAGGGTATTATCATACTCAATTTTAAAACGAATTTGAATATTCTGCTTAAAATTTTGACGAGTTCTTGAAGGAATTTATGCAAAAGAGTTATATGAGAAGATTTTTTAAAGAGTGTAATGAAAATATTCAGGGGAAGAATTAGACAAAGGTCAACTGAAATGAGGGAGTTTAGTTAGCAAATCGTTGCAGGGATCATGGAGAATGATGTCAATGGTCAGAAGTTGTGCGTTAATAGAAATTATGGCAAAAGCAGACAAAGAGAGAATTTCAGGAGGTACTGTCTTCTGGATAGAAAAAGGAAAGAAGGTAATATGAATGGTTCTTAGCTTCCTGAATGGAGGTAATGATTAAATGTGGTGACTTCTACGGGGAATAGATATGGGCTTCAGGAGTAAGGCTCAATCTACCTCAGTACAACTTTCCATGTTACCTATATTTGGGACTACACAAAACGAAGGTGAGTCAGTTCATTACTATCCCCAATACAGCCTTGAATATGAATAATTGAAGTATAAATTAGGATATCTTGTCATTTTTCCAGTTAAATAAATATTATCTTTGCTCTCACACTAAGATTCATTCCCAACTTGAGGCATTCTCAGACCCATTCCATCTCTTTTCCTGCCTGTGACTAGAATTCAAGGAGATGAACTAAATACCTGTTGTATCTTATCAAATCCTTTTTAATGATCTTAGAGGGTAATTGTTGTCAGATCTCTAGGACATAGACAATAGAAATGCTTGCTTTTCTAGTTTCTCATGATCACAGGGATTTTAGAAATAGAGGGAAATGAAGAGTAAGATCTAGGATTCTGGAGAGGAGAAGATATTGTAGGGAATATTTAAGGGTACTTGGTATTGAAGGCTGCTGACAGTGTGGAGAAGACATCACTTTGGGATATTATCTCTCTCTCTCACTAGGTCTCTGCTCTTCACTGGATTCGTTGGGGGCTAATTCACGAGTGAGTTGAGGAGAAACTATAGAGCTGGGCACATTTGATGTATCGCTGCTTTTTCCTTGACCTAGGCTCACTTCTATGTCTGGGTAATTGTTACTTTATCTTTATAAACACTTCTATTAAAGTATAATTGATATACAATAACTTATACAATTCGATGAGTTTGGACATATGCATTGATTGTCATATAAACTATCACTACAATCAAGGTAATAGAAGTATCTATCACCTTCAAAATTTCCTTGTGTCCTTTTGTATTTTGTTTTATTTTGTGGCAAGACACTTAACCTGAGCTTGACTCTTTTAACAAAATTTTAAGTGCATTATACAATAAGGTTGTTTATAGACATTATACTATACAGCAGATCTCTAGAACTAATTCACCTTGCACAGCTTAAACTTCGTACCAACTGAACAACAATGTCCTATCTCCCCTTCTCCAGCCCCTGGTAATCAATATTCTTTTCTCTGCTTCTTTGAGTTTGGCTATTTTAATTACCTCGTGTAAGTGGAATCATGCAGTATTTTTCCTCATGCAGTGTTTTTCCTCCTGTGCCTGGCCTATTTCATTGGACATAATACCCTCCAGTTTCAGCCATTTTGAAGCAAATGGCAGAATTTCCTTCTTTTTAAAAACTGAATAATATTTAGTTCTATGTATATGCCCACATTTTTTATCCATTCATCTGTTGATGCACATCTGGGTTGTTTTCAGAACTCAGACATTGTGAATAGTGCTGCAATAGACATGTGAGTACAGATAGCTCCTTGAGATCCTGAATTCAATTTAAGTATATAAAAAGATGGGCCAGTAGGTGGTATAGTGGCTAAGGCACTTGACTCCAACATGGCCAACCTGTGGTTTGAACACTAACCCCTACAACTTGAGAATCATGCTGGACATGTGTAATACAAGACAGAAATCCCAAGCAGAGAATGGAGAAGAAGGGATGGCTACATGGCCATCCCCTCCAAGGAGTGCTTTCTCACTTTCCCTTTCACTGTCTCTGTCTGTCTGTCTCTCTCTGGTGAGCACACACACCCTAAGGCAAAAATCTGGGGGAAAAAAAAAGAAGAAAAGATGTTCAACATCACATATCATCAGGGAAATGCAAGTTAAAAAACATTATGAGCTATCACCTTACAATGGTTATAATGGCTATTAATAAACAAACAAACACAAGCTATTGGGGCCAGCCATTGGCATGGTGGTTAAGATAGCTGGATTCCACATAACCAACTACATGGTTTGAGTCCTGGTCCTGGCAGGTTAAAAAACATGCCAGGTGTGTGTGGATGCATGCACAAAATCTTGACAGGAGAATGGGAAAGAAGAGATTGTGATGTAACCATTCCCCTGGGGCATGCTTTCTCAGTTTCCCTCTCTCTCTCTCTAAGTCTCTCTGCAGTGAGCACATGTCCCTATAGCAAATAAAAAAAAAAAAACAATAACAAAACTATTATCTAGAGATAATAAGTTTTGGCAAGGATGTGGAGAAATTTAAACACATCCATCATTGGTGGGGATATAAAGTGGTGTAGCCATTATGGAAAACAACATGGAATTTCTTCAAAAAATTAAACATAAAACTATCATGTGATCCACTAATAAAAATCAAAATCAGGTAGTTGTTTCTACAAATCTCTTTTGTTTCTTCTCCTTTCATTTTCATCTTGGCTCTCAACCCTAGAGTCCTAGATTTAACACTAATAGAGCCCTAAAGAAGAGGTGGACAGAGGTGATAACTCTGAGTTTAATATTGATGACCCCTGGGATCCGGGGCATTGCTCAGAGATGGACACAGTCTTTACTGTAGGCATTGGTCCAGCCTACATGCTGCATGGCTAACTCATCACAACTTTCTTTACTTTGCCCAGTTCTTTCAAACCTAGACCTACCTCAATGCCAAGCTCAAACTCTACTTTTGTGACTGAGTTCCTCTTTGAAGGATTTTCCAGCTTTGGATGGCAGCACAGGCTTGTCTTCTTTGTGGTCTTTCTAACTTTGTACTTTCTGACACTCTCTGGTAATGTGGTTATTGTTACTATCATTCGTCTGGATCGTCACCTCCATACTCCCATGTACTTCTTCCTGAGTATGCTGTCCATCTCTGAGACCTGCTACACTGTGGCCATCATTCCCCGTATGCTTTCTGGCCTCCTGAATCCACATCAGCCCATTGTCATCCAAGGTTGTGCTACTCAGCTCTTCTTCTATCTCACCTTTGGCATCAATAATTGCTTCCTGCTCACAGTCATGGGATACGACCGCTACGTGGCTATTTGCAACCCTCTACGATATTCAGTCATCATGGGTAAAAAGACCTGCATTCAGCTGACATCTGGGTCTCTAGGAATTGGCCTGGGGATGGCCATTATTCAGGTAACATCTGTGTTCGGCCTACCCTTCTGTGATGCCTTTCTGATCTCTCACTTCTTCTGTGATGTGAGACCCCTGCTGAAGTTGGCCTGTGCAGACACCACCATCAATGAGATCATCAACTTTGTTGTCAGTGTCTGTGTCCTTGTCCTACCCATGGGTCTGGTCTTTATCTCCTATGTCCTCATCATCTCCACCATCCTTAAGATTGCTTCAGCAGAGGGTCGAAAGAAGGCCTTTGCCACCTGCGCCTCCCACCTCACGGTGGTCATCATCCACTATGGCTGTGCTTCCATCATCTACCTCAAGCCTAAGTCCCAGAGTTCCCTGGAGCAGGACAGACTCATTTCAGTGACCTACACTGTCATCACCCCCCTGCTGCACCCTGTCGTGTAATGAACCCTGTCGTGTACAGCCTGAGGAACAAGGAGGTCAAAGACGCTCTGCACAGAGCCATGGGGCAAAAGCCTCTGTCCCCTTAATGAGGAGAGGCAGTGAAGAAGGCCTTTTCTTTGAGTATATAAATATGTATTAACTTTAATTCTGTTTCAGTGGTGCCTTTAAGTATGGGATCAATAAGACTAGACTAAACTGAGTTCAATTCTAATACTGGAGGTTTCCTTATGAGGTAGTCATAGTTCTGTTCTGTGCTCCCAAGCTAAAGAACTTGGCCTATGCTTAAAAATTCAGGGGAAGGATGAAGATACCTGGGTCCCCACTAGCCAGGTGCACTCAAACACACATGCTCACAACTACACACTTCCTGAGAATATTTTTAGTTACACACTCTATTAACTTTATTAACATGAAGTCTAGAAGGATTTGAAGCAGCTGGTGAGCAAAGGGTTTGGAAAGCACCTCATAAAGTCTTCTTTGTTGTTTTAAGGGTTTCAGTAATATGTACAACTATTTTAACAAGAAGGGGTGGAGACACATATGCATACACATCTCTGTGGACATTGAAGACTTTCTTGTTATCTGTCTTTGCTATTTACGAATAACTCATTACAGCCTGGGGGATCTTGAAAGGGTTGGAGCCAGGCCTTCTGAATGTCTGGAGCTACTGTAACTGACCTGGAAATAAGGAGTGCAAATGTAGGAAAGCAAAAGAGTATCGACTCCAAAGAGTACAGAAATGGGTTATCTATAGTCCTAAAGTGCTCAGATGAGAAAACTCAGATTGAAGGGTGAGCATGCTGAAAAGTTCTCCAGTTTTTATGCTTTCAACACAAGTGTGAAGAGTCTGGAGACTGGAAGAAGCTAACCACAAGTATAGTTCCTTTTGAAGCATAGACCTAAACTCTGAAATAGTTTTATAAACATGTGCACTTTAACTATACTACTTCTGAAAATAAAAGTTTATTAATGAACCTATATCTAAAGCTTGACTTAAAATTTTTTTCAGTGATTTATCACTTTCTATCTGTCTCTATCTTTCTGACAAGTGCACGCACCCTATAGCAAAAACCTCAAAATAAAAATAAAAAGAAAAAAAAAAAAAAGCTAGTATGACCAGGAATACAAGGTATCTTTGCTTTCGTATTCAGATGTCTAGAAATGATATAGCCCATTCATTTTGGTGAGATTAGCCAAAACACAATTTTTTAAAAAAATGTTTAGTAATTTTGCTTAATTTATGTCAAAACTGTTGGGTAAAGAGCTGATGATCAATGCCACTCTGTCTTTTATCTGAAGTTGTATTGAGTGGGTGCTATGGTGTTCCGCCCAGACTTCACTCATCAAGACCCTCATAAACATTAAGCTGACTGCTCTCAGCTTAGTCTATGTCCAAAAATTGTCCTTGCTAAAAAATGACTTTCTCCAAGGTCACACTCCTTTTCCAAGGAAAGATTGCCTCAAATGATTAGTCTATTTCAGAATATTGCCTCACTTTAAGACATGTATGGAGGGCTCTCTCAGCCCAGCATACTCAGCTGTGCGATGGTAAGATACTTGCTGTGACTGTGTCACATTTCAGCTTCTCTATCTGCTCTGTCTTGTGTCTTTCACTTCCCCCAGGTGTAGACACTGAGAGCTCTCCTTCATAAACTCAGCACATTTGAATCTCTGTCTCAGAGTCTGTTTCCTGGAGATACCAACTGGAACATTTTCAGATCCACTTCTAAAACAGCAACTGGTTTACGTGAAGAATCCAAATTTTCAGCCTTAATCTAATAAAGGCAGATTAGTGGCTCCTATATTTTAGTTAAAAAAAATAGTTTCACTTGACTTACTGAGTTATAATTTATTGTGACTCAATTAAGTTGATAGCAGTGCAGAATTATCTTATTAAAAAACTGATTAAAAATTAAACTATGGATTTTTCTCAGAATCCACATAAAGTCATTCTTTTCTCTTCAAAAAACAAGCAAACAATTCTCTGCCAGTACTGTGAGTGTCCTTGTCGCCTAGCGCTCCCACATTGCAGTGAGAATGCTGACCACTGTCAGTGATATTTGAAAAATTGAAAATAATAAGAAAGACTTGACAATAATAGGAAGGACTGAAAGTGAGCCTGTGTCATTCCAATTTTCAAAAAGACAAAAAGTGTGGGTGCTTTTTGTGATATATACAGGTAAACTTGATAGTGATCTTTGGCACATTTATAGAGTAAAATTTGTGGTAGGGGTGTTGTGGAGGTTGATGAAGTACCAGATGGGGACTTGGGTTTCAAAAGTAGCTGTTCACAGCTGAGTGGATTACCCAAGCCAGGAAGACAACTCTGCTCTCTGAATTATCTAGGCATGTAAGCTGACAGGTGCCCCTGCTGTCTTCAACATAAGGCGTCCAGCTCTGAGTTCATGGAAACACTCCACCGTCACCATTTTCCACTGAATGAGAAGAAACAAGCAGAGACTTTTTTTTTAAGTGTTAAACTTCCCAGCATACAAGAAGATGAATCTTTTGTCTGAGTCTCCATTCGGGAGGTGGCTAAGAAAATTGATCTTTGCTTGACCACCAGTCAGGAGTTACTTATTTCATTTTCAGAAAACCAACCGCTAACTATTGGAAAGTCATGATGATTTGTTGTGGTCAGTTATGGGAAAGCAAATTTGGCTCTATGGACTGGCCTGGAGCAAATTGGTAAGTGATCAGTGGTGGCAGAAGAGGTCCCAAGAGTGAATCTGGGGCGAATTGTTTCTATTCCAGTCATTTACATAATGCATACTCTTTCTCTGACATAGATAAAAAGTGCTACATATATGTTAAAGTAAAAAAAAAAATGCAAATGCCATATTTTGGGTTCCCACAAAATATTCAGGTCCTAACTCTGTATTCCACATTCCTTCTGGAACAGGAGAGGAAATTCACATCATATTTGTTCATAGCAAAAGAAACATGGGAAGAAAGAAATGGTAGACACAGATATAAAACAAACATGGGATTTAGATACATCGGAGAACTCAGTGAAGAGAGAGGTCAGTGTGTGAGGATGAAGGAAAAATTCACACTGGTACTCCTTGGTGAAGGCATTCTTAGCCTTTGTGCCCAGGTAATCACAGAGGAACTAGATTCCCAAGTAAGGAATGACACAGTGTCTGGTCTCAAAGGAACCTTGGAGACCACCCAGTACAAATTCTTCTTTTTGCAAAAGAAGAAATGGTACCTTGGAGACCGGCAAGTAACTTGGTCTACTTATGTAGCTGGTTAGCAGCCATCTGTACTTTCATGTCTACAGCCTTCTCATTTTTTTTTTTTAAGAGAGGTTTTTGCTATAGGGTGCATGCCTTGGCCAGAGAGATAGACAGAAAGTGAGAAATCATCCCCCGGGGAGATGACCACACCGCAATCCCTTCTTCTCCTGTGTCTTCCTAGGATTTGAGGCATGCACCTGGAGTGAGTTTCAAGCTGCAGAATCTGGAACTTGAACCATGGGTCATCTATGTGGGAGTCCAACAATGTAACCATTATGCCATCTACTGGCCTCACAGCCCTCTTATTCTTGGAGTGAGTATGAAAGGGAGGTATAGGAGATTGTGATACTTGAGAACTTAAACAATCTCTTAGAAGATGTTTCTTAAGCTGATCAAGGTGGACTTTCTACTCACGATAAACACCTCTCAGTTTGCAACTCTGGATCATTTGGCCTCAGACATTTTTCAGAAACAGAATTAACTTGCTCTCTAGTCAATGTTTATGATGGAATACAGTGTATAGAACATTGTGGGGCAAGCAGTGGTTAGTGAATGTGGTGGTAAGACCGTGGCCTCGGGGTACAATGTAAAACAGATCTCTGGGAGTGGCTGGGGAGGTGTTTATCAGAACTACACCAGGGAGACTTTGGGAGGACTTCTCCTGGGCTGTTGCTTTGGAACTCTCTTCTCTGCTCACTGCCCCTATTTACATGAAGCCAAGTGACAAGTCTGTTCACCAATCGGACTATTTCTTACCTCTCTAAAATGGTTAGGAAAAAAAAAAGTGGAGGAAAATTCAAAGGAGTGTTATATTGGATTTTTGAGATGAAGAAGATACAAAGAAGAAGGAGAAGAGGAGGGAGAGGAAGAAAGGAGTATAAAAAAGAAAAATGAAAAGCCTCCAGTAATTTGTCTCTTCTTTGTGGCCCAGAAATATTCTTTGGAGAAAATGAGACTTGTAGTCCCATGGATATTTATAAATTTTCCCCTCGGATACACTTCCTTAGAGTATTAGTTGTAATAAAGCATAAGTAGACTATAGGCTTTCTGATCTCTGTTATAAATTTGTGGTCAGTACCAATAATAAATTACCTCGCTTCCCTAGTGCTTACACTAAGTCCTCAGTATAACCATCTCCATGGGCATAGGGCTGGGGTAGGCGTTAGTGGTAGCAAAGACTTGGATTTGGCTGGTGCTAAAAATTCCTGTTTTTTTTTTTGTTTGTTTGTTTGTTTGTTTGTTTTTATTTTTCTTTGCAGTTCGCAGAATCTTCCAGATATAACTAATTCAATTCTCAGAAGGACCTTAGGGAGTAGACAGGATGACTCTTACCATTCTTGTTTTATACATAAATACTAAGAGCCATTGAAATATAATATTTTCCTCAATCACAAACATAGAAAGTAAAAGAGTTGTAATTTAGAACCGTGTTTACTCCTGTATGGTTTAGTCTTTTTCTAATGAATAGCTTTATAAGAGACAAGAAATTAACCCTCTCCTCTCATTGAGAGAGGCCGGTGCTTCCTCTAATAAATATTGTGAGGACAAAAAATTAAAGGGTGGGACCAGACAGGTGGCATGGTGTTTAGGCAGCAGAATCCCACATGGCTGACTGTGCAATTTGAGTTTTGAACCTGGAGACCTGGAAGACATTCCTGGTGTGTGTGCGTATGTGCCCAAAATCCACAGAAGAAAATGGAGGATAAGGGATTGTGGCATAGTCATCCTCCCTGAGGGTGCTTTCAATCTTTCCCTTTGTCTCTGTTTCTGTCTCTCTCAAGTGAGTGCACATACCCTATAGCAAACTTCTTTTACAAAGGAAAAAATAATAAACCCAAATTCTCTAGTATCTTTGCCTGAGATTTTAGACTTCTTTTTCAAGAATTATTTATTGCCCTGGAGTGATTCTGTCCTGCATGGCTGTTTTTGGGGGCCATAGTCATTTACCTCTGTCTGTCTTCTCTTTCACTAATTGTGTGCCACTACCCCATGGAAGATTTGATGGACCTGGATATGAGCCTCCTGAGTCCCCAGAACTAATTTTGTTTAGTTGTGAACTAAAGGTCAACAAAGATAATCACTTTAAGGTAGATAATGATGAAAATGAACATCAGTTATCTTTAAGAACGGTCAGTTTAGGGGCTCGTACAAAGGATGAATTGCACATTGTTGAAGCAGAGGCAATGAATTATGAAGGCAGTCCAATTAAAGTAACTCTGGCAACACTGTAAATGTCTGTACAGCCAACGGTTTCCCTAGGGGGCTTTGAAATACCACCACCTGTGGTCTTAATGTTGAAGTATGGTTCAGGGCCTGTGCATATTGGGGCACAACACTTAGTAACTGTGGAGGAAGATGCAGGGTTCGAAGAGGAAGAGGACGTGAAACTCTTAAGTATGTCTGGAAAGTGATCTGCCCCTGGATGTGGTAGCAAGGTTCCACAGAGGAAGTGTAAAACTTGTTGCTGTTGAAGATGACGATCAAGACCATGATGAAGATGATGATGGCGATGGAGATGATGATGATGATGATGATGATGATGATGATTTTGAAGATAAGGAAACAGAAGATAAAGCTCCAATGAAGAAATCTATATGAGATACTCCTGGCAAAAATGCTCAAAAATCAAACCAGAATGGAAAAACATCAACACTAAGATCAAAAGGCCGAGAATCATTAAATAAATAAAAACAAAATAAAATAAAATAAAAACAAAAACAAAACAAAAAACAAGAAAAATCTCCTAAAACACCCAAAACACCGAGTTCTGTAGATGACATTAAAGCAAAAATGCATGCAAGTATAGAAAAATGTGGTTCTCTTCCCAAAGTGGAAGCCAAGTTCATTAATTATGTGAATTGCTTCCGGATAACTGACCAGGAGGCTATTCAAAATCTCTGGCAGTTGGGGGACCAGCAATTAAGGTAATGGCTATGTCACTAGACTCCCATGTAGTCGACTGTGGTTCAAGTCCCGAACCTGGTGGCTTAAAACTCATGCCGGGTGCGTGTGTGTGTGTGTGCCCAAGATCCCGAGAGGAGAATGGAGGAGAAGGGATTGCGGCATGGCCATCCCCCCTGGGGGGGTGATTTCTCGCTTTCTGTCTCTCTGTTTCTGTCAGTTTGGCAAGCGCACGCACTCTATAGCAAAAAAAAAAAAAAAAAAAAAAATCTCTGGCAGTGGAGGAAGTCTTTTCAAGAAAATAGTTCAGTTTGTTAAAATTTTTCATCTTATTTCATTTCTGTGACAGTTGATATGTGGCTATCCTTTTTAGAATGTAGAGTGAGAATTTTCCCTACTGTATTTAATAAATGTTGTCCAAGTTCCTTGCCAACAATGTGCTGTCCAAAATGCCTATTTACTTTTTAAAGATGGAACTCCAGTCTTTGGTTGGTTTTAAGTATGTATAGAATTTTTTGACAGGACACAGTAGTAGTGGTGGTCAGATATGGAAATGGTGGGGAGACAAAAATATACATGTGAAATAAACTCAATATTTTAATATAGTAGCACTGTTCTCTTTGTAGTCAATTAAAAAAAGAATTATTTTATTTATTTATTTATTTATTTATTTATTTATTTATTATTATTTTAAATTTGCCACAGGGTGCAAGTGCTCACCAGAGAGTGACAGAAAGTGAGAAAGCAAGCTGCCAGGTCCAGGACTCGAACCATGATAGACCATGTGGGATTCAGAGCCTTAATCACCTGTTGGCCCTGATTTTAACTGTTTTAAGAGCTGGGGTTCTGAATATTATTGTTTTCTGGAATTTCTTCAAAATAATTATTTCAAGTGCTATACAGAGGGATATAAAATAAAAGTTCAAGATAAGTTTGAGATACTAGAGGTGTGAAGTAATCACAGGGGAATCCTAGACTCAATTCATCCCTAGAGTCCCTTGGCTAAAGACTGCATAGATTTTGTCAACCACCAGAAGCTCATAGATAGTAAGGTGAAGAAAAAGCATATTTTTTTTAAAATCAACATCACTGGTATCCTATAGTGTCTTTTTCATTCATAGCTTATACTGACAATGGTTATAAAAGGATATTTCTAATCTAGAGCTTCATGGTTGTTGCCTATAGAAGAAAAATAAATAAATAAGCAAAATCAGAAGACTTGGATACTTAGAAGCATCATGTGACACAATTTCATACTTATTTTTACTAAAAATGTAGTTCTATTTTACTAATGCTAATAAATGAATCTATTTAACCTTTCATTTATTCAACCAACGTTTATTGAGCACTTCCCATTACATGCCACTTAACCAGTTTCAATTGTGTTAATGAAGCAGTTCTGTAAATCCTGAGCACATATTTTTCTATGTACGGCGTAAGCTGTGTTTGGCAGTTGTGAAGCAGTTGCTGATGCTAGAAATCGCAGTTGCAAATGTTTCTGGAGCAGTGACATCAGTCCTGTGGAGAATCTGACTTTGGTTGTGGGTTGAGAGGTTTTTTGTCTTTCCTGGTTCTCTTAAACTTCAAGAGAAATATGAACTGCTGCTGAGTGGAGATAAGTAACCCTGTGTCCACAGCAAACAGAATCAACACCAAAAATGGGATAAGAAGTTGTACCCAGGTATTCTTGCTGTGCTGAGCTACAGTGGAACATAGATACAACAGGAAATATAATTAGTTAAAGAAGGAGGCTCAAAGCTTTACCCTCTCTAAGAAGCCCTAGCATGATCCTTTGTCTTTAGCGTGATGTGGATCAGAGAGAAAATACTTAGGAAATCGGGTTTCTTAGTCAATGCTCCTCAGAATCCGAGGGAGTCCTAGGTATTTTCCCGTAACCCTTGTCTAATAATTCCTCTAGTCATGGTGCCCAAGGAGAAAGGTCATAGAAAAGATGATCCCTTTTTTGGAACTAATAGCTCCACCTACAGCTATCATCCACTTATATTCTGAGGGCAGAAAGGAGACACAGTGAGGCCAGGGTCAATGGCACCTTACTTCTCAATCAATCAGTTATCGATTCTTACATGCCTCGTGGGTGAAATAAAGATAATAAAGATTGGACTAATTAAGTTGCCTTCCAATTCTACCATTTTGTGATTATTATTCTATTTATATAGTTCTGAATTTTGTGATTATACTAGAATTATGTAGAGCCTCAGAATATTACAGCCATAAATCCCTTAAAGGTCATGTACACCAGTGGTTTTCAACACCAGCTATATAGTACGATTACTTGAAAGAGTTTGTAAAAATATTGATGCCCGGGCCTCACTCCAAATCAGTTAAATCAGAACCTCAAGAGGTGAGACAGACATCAATAATTTGTTAAGTTCCTCAAGTGATTCTAGTGGTATCTATGCCAAATCTATGAGGGGACTTCAAATATCCATGAAAAGATATCATTGAAGTACAAATTCATTTTGGTGCAGAAACATCTTGAAATAATAGGCACTTTTCATGAACTTTTTAAGGATCCCTCATATTTTATACATGAAGATACTAGAAGCCCAAAAACAATTTTAAAAAATAGCACTTTGGTCTTGGATTAACAGAGAACTACCACTAGTGATTAATTCTGACTTTTGGCCTTGTGCTTTTTTTAGACATTAGTATGACCAAAACATTCCAAGAAAAAAGGTCTGACTTCCTCCTTACAAGGCAAATATTTCAAAAGCTCACAGCTCACTTTCCAATAAGGTTTGCAAAGAGCAATTTTTCTCATAATTCATAGAGGCAGCCCACTAGATTAATTTCTCCTCATGAAGCCCATTTCCTTGTCCCCCAATACATAGACACCCAGCTCACTGACTTTCTGGCTTCCTTTCCCAGGCTCCTACGTGAAATGGGCCCTTCAATTTTTTTACATTCTTTGTTCCTTCCACTTTGAAACTCTCTCTAAATTTGAAAAGTACAAGGGGACTGCAAAATTTCAGAAAAAAAAATTAAAGTGCTAGTTTATTTGGGTGCCAAAAAAAAAAAAAACATGAATAGCTTTTGATAATAGGCATTTTCTATGAACTTTTTGAAGACCCCTTGTATAAGTGTTCACTCCAGGAGCCTCAGATGACTTTGAGATCAAAACTATAATCATAGTCTTTTATGCTTGGATAATAATGCTTAACAGTCTACAAAACCACTTCATAAATTTCACCACAGTCCTCTTCAGAAGAATTTCATAGCAGGAATTACTATCACCATTTAACAAATAAGGACTCTACGACAGAGGCTGATACTATAACCCAGCTATCCTCAATGCAAGTCCAGGGCTCTATCCACAGTACCACAATGGTCTCCAGTCTATAAGCTGCAGCTACTTTGGACCAGATGTTTTCTCTTCCTTCTCTTCGTATGGACTCCTTCCATGTCCTTTACCAACTCACCTGCTACTACAGTAAGGCTGAAGGGCTCCGAGGCGTAGCATTCATCACAGGGGTAGCGATGTTTCAAGTTGTAACGCTGAAAGGTGCCGGTGCAGTGATAGGAACCACTATCTCCCAATGTGGCATTTGGGATGGATAAGTTGTAGTTCTCATACCAGTACTCGAGAGCTCTGTCATTCTTATAATAGGTCACCTTGTAGAGGTTCCTGTTCTTCCAAGCATGGCACCTGAGGATGAGGTCGTTACCCTCCTCCACCACCTCAGGAGAGACCTGAAGGAGTAGCCAGTCTGAAGAACATTCGTTATATTATTTCTTTAACAATAAATTGGGAGGGGTAGAGAGAGAGCTAATAGATAATAGCTAGAATTAAAGAAAATATAAGAAGTTGTGCATAGAGTGTACATCAGAAACTATGAATTGTTTCATCCCAGTTTATAAGATCAGTTAAAAGGAAACACAGGGCCAGGCAGTGGCACAGTGCTAACGCACCTGGACCCACATAGGAGGGCACGGAGTTTATGTCCCAGGACCTGCTTAAGCACGGTGAATACATATTCAAGTGTGCCTGTGCCAGTATCCAGACCAGCAGAGACCGAGGGCGGACTGCAGCATAGAAACCCTGTTTGGGGTGCCTGTCTCTCTGCTTCTCTCTCATGGAAGAAATAAATTAATTAATTAAAAATTAAAATTAAAAGAAAGGAAAAGGGAAACTATTCTTAGATCCTATCTCTTATTTTGATAAATCCTTTCCTGTCTTGAAAGCCAGTATGGAACCATTAAGTCTCCAAGAACTATATGCTGATGCACGTGGAAGGCCTGAAACCCACAATTCCCAATTCCTTTTTTTTTTTTTTTATTTTTCCCATGGGGTGCTTGTATTCATTGGAGAGAGACAGAGAGAGACAAAGAGAGGGAAAGTGAGAAATCACTCTACAGAGACATAGCTGCACTGTAATCTCTCTCCTCTATTCTCCTCTTGGGATTTTGGGCACTCACTCACATGTGCCTGGCATGTTTCAAGCCACCAGGCTACCTGAAGTCACCTTCACTAAATGGGCCCACAATGGCACCCATTCAGAAATGACAATTTCAGTTGACAAGGTTTGAGACTTAAACTGCAGTTCAGCCATGTAGGAATCCAGCACATTTAACACCACACCACCTGCTAGCCTCAGAATTCCATTTTCGTCATTAAGGAGGAAATAAAGATACTACATCTGGGGAGTTTGGTTTGAGAAAGTCAAGTTTGTCCTTTCTTACCTCATAGGAGTGTCCCATTTCTATTGATAAACACAACTGGCCTTGAAACTTCTTCAAAACGTGTGTCAGTTTTTATTTTGTTTTTTTTTTTTTTTTAGATATTTGCCATAGAGCACACATGCTTGCCAGAGAGAGACAGAGAGAGAAAATGGAAAGTCATCCCCTGGGGAGTATAGCCACACTGCAATCCCTTCATCTCTTCTGTCCAGTCTCCTCTGGGGATTTGGAGCAGGCATGCATACACATACTTCTGGCATGTTTTTCAAGCCTCTGGGTCCGGAACTCCAGCTGCAGAATTTGTCATGTGGGATTCAACTATCTCAATCACCACACTCCTGTTGGCCCCAATATGTATCATAATTTTAACTAATTATTTGTGTAATTGCCTATTTAGTGTCCTCTTCCCCACTTAAAGGTGCTGGATTCCTCTATGTTCCAGGAGGTCAGAAACCATGTCTGACTCTGCGTTATATCCCCGGTGCCCACACAGTGCCTAAGAGTTGGCAGGTACTCAACAAATATGCATCAAAAATGAAAAGACATGAATCAGGTTCTATGGTTAATGTTATTGTAAGAATTGAGAAGCATTCTCAAAAAGAGAATCCTGGGTGGAAATATGGCTAACTTGTGCAAGCCTATTTTATGTAAATGCAACCCTTGAGGACCTCTCTAGAATCAATTCCAAGAAAATAGTGAAGCTATTGAGTTGCTGGGAAAGTCATGATGTATGTTTCTAGATTTTTCTTTTTCTTTACTTTGAGAGGTTTTTGCCTTAGGGCATGTGCACTTGTTGGGGAAAGAGAGAGAGAGAGACAGAAACAATGACAGGGAAAGTGAAAAATTACCACCCACCCGGAGAATGGCCATGCTGCAGTCCCTTTTCCTCCATTCTTCTCCTGGGATCTTGGGCACACATCCATATGTGTCTGGCATGAGTTTTAAGCCACCGGGTCCAGGACTTGTACCACAGTCAGTAATGTGGGAGTAGTCAAATGACATAACCACTATGCATGCCATTGGCTGGCCCCCATTTTCTATGTAAAAATGCAACATTATTTTTCTGATGACCCAGTATTTTACCTCACTTCAGTTTTTATTTAAAATTTGCATATGGGTGTTAAAACATTTCTTTCACTCAAGAATACTGTAGAGTATAACAGTGCCTATTTATCCAATTGAAATGACAAGCTTGTTCACTGAACATTTACCAATTAACCCACATAAATCTAAGTATGCTATGCTAATTATTGGCCATGGAAGAGTGATAAAGATGAAATTGTTATCATTTTTGTTATTAAATGACAGTAAAGGACAGGAAAAATATATAAAGTATATTTCATCATGAAGAATACAACCAAATATTCAGAAAATGGCACACGGTTTATGCAGAGAAAATGTTCAAATTCAACCTTTGACCCAATTCCAGATACACAGCCCTGTGTAATGGCCATCTCCATGGTACCATTTCTTTTCATAATAAACAACTGCCTCCAGGCAGAAAAGACAGAAAAATAGGAGTTATAATATTGAGATATGGCCAGCGTATTGAAAGAAGGTATAAGAGTAGGCAGGAGTGTGGATCAAAAAATGAAATGGAGGGATGAGAGGGTGAGAGGTCTTGAATTCTACTCTGGTGCCCTAAGCCTCGGAATAACCCACTTTCTCCCTGCATTCACCTTGGCCGGTCTCACACAAGAGGACTATATTTCCATATCCCTGGAACTTACCACTGAAAATTTCCAGGTACACAGGTGGGCTCTTGTTATGTTTTTGATGCTGACATCTGTATTCCCCACTGTCATTAACTGTGGCAGCCACGATGTCCAAAGTTGTTGAAGTCACTTCTAAAACGGTGCCATTGTGAGTCCACTTAGTGGAGTTGACTTCAGAGAACTTCCTCCCCTTGCATGTTAGCGTGACATTCTCTCCTCTAAATATTCTATTCCATGGGGGATTCAAGGATATGACCGTTTTCTGGAGGGCTTTAAGAAGATAAAATATGGAAAGAGGTAGAGAGGGAAAAAAGATCATGGAAAACTGTCCAGGATCAAAAAGGCAAACATAGGGAACCAGCAGTTAGCGTAATGGCTATGTCGCTGGACTCCCACGTAGTCGACCGCTGTTCACGTCCTGGACCCGGTGGCTTAAAACTCACGCCGGGCGCGTGTGGGTGCATGCCCAAGATCCCGAGAGGAGAATGGAGGAGAAGGGATTGTGGCATGACCATCCCCCCTGGGGGGTGATTTCTCGCTTTCTGTCTCTATGTCTCTCTCTGTCTGTCTGGCGAGTGCACGCGCCCTTATAGCAAAAATCTCTCAAAAAAAAAAAAAAAGGCAAACATATCAATAATCAGTGACAAACAATCAATGGTCAGCTTATCTTTATGCTACTGGTAGAAAGACTGTCTTAAGACTCTCAGAGGAAGGACTAAAGGATGAAGAAAATGGTGGTGTAACCCCAGGGAGCTCCCAACCTAAGGAGAAAGGCAGAACATAACGCAGGAGATTTAAAAAGAAACAAATAAATCAATTTACTATGTGGCTTGGGATAATTCTAATTCTCTAAATTTTAATTTCAGTATCTGTTAATGAAGATTATGATCTCTTTTCAAGCAGAGACAATATCTGTCTTGCTCTGCCCTTGTCCAGCGCAGCTGATTGGTACATAGTAAGTGTTCATTAAATATTTATCAAATGAATGAATGAATGATTCAATAATGGATGGATAAAAGTATAAGACTAGATGAATTATAAGATCTTTCCAAGCACTAAATTAGCACTAAATTTTTGTGACTGTTTCATTGTGAGTGTACATGGAATGCAAAATACATGTCATTCTGGAAGGCAGCGAGAAACACCAGGTCAGTCTGTCTTGGACGGCTTCCAGGAACAAAGGGAAGTGGCACACATTTGAATGAAAAGCAAGAAAGTGGCTATGTAATGATGACAAAAGGGCGACATAGACAAAAGAGCTGGACTTAAACCCATGGGACCTCTGTTGGAATCTAGGCCCTTGTTGGCTGTGTAACTTCAGACAAATCACTTAATCTGAATTCCAGCATTCTCAATTATAAAATAGCTATCATAATAACAATAATAAATACCACAAAAACCGAATGAGAGCAAACAAAAGTACCTGGGAGAGAGGCTGAGACATCGGGATGGGCCACAGATGTGGTTGTTGGCTTACACAGAGAAGGGGACGACTTACAAGCAGGAAATGGTATGTGACGAGCTTTTGGAGGAGGGAAAAGAAGGAAGGCAAGGCAAGGTAGAGATCGTAAGGGGTTGGCGAGAGAGAAGCAGGTGTATACCCATTAGAAAGCAGAAGTGGGGCCAGCCTATAGCCTGGCGATTTAGAGAAATGGATCCCACATGGCTGACCAGATGACCATGTGATTAGAGTCCCAATTGAGTCTTGAAAAACAAACTTGAATGAGACCAGCAGTTAGCGTAATGGCTATGCTGTTGGACTCTCATGTAGTCAACCACGGTTTGAGTCCTGGACCCGGTGGCTTAAACTCACACTGGGCACATGTGCATGCGTGCCCAAGATCCTGAGAGGAGAATGAGGGAGAAGGAAATGCAGTGTGGCCATTCTCCCTGGGGGGTGATTTCTCGCTTTCTGTCTCTCTGTCTCTGTCTTTCTGGTGAGCGCACGCATCCTATAGCGATAACCTCTCCAGAAAAAGAAAAAAAAACACATTTGAATGTATATGTGCATGTGCCCCAAATCCCAAAAGGATGGAGAAGGGATTGTCACATGACTAGACCCCATGGATGGCGCTTCCTCTCTATTTCTTTGTCTCTCTCTGGCAAGCGCACATTTCTCAGGCAAATCAAAGGAAAAGAACTAAGCAGAAGTGATGTGATAGAGCCGAACAATGAGGAGAGAGTGAAGCCCAGACACATTGAGACACCGAGGTAACAAGGACAAAGAACTTACCTGCTAACTCACCATCCAGAGCTGCAAAAGTCCAGAGAGGATAAGTTAGTGCCTTTCCTTAGTCTCTTGGGACTCTAGAGGACTAACGCTCTGGGTGTGCGGATGAGATCTACATTTATGGAATTTTAATGGCCAACTATCTTCTCTGACACAGCGAGACAAAGAGCTTCCCTTTTCCTTCTCTCCTTTACTAGAAATCTTTCACTCTGGGAGATGCCAGAGTGATTGCAAGGAACCAGAATTTCAGTGTGGCTTCCCTTAGGTGTTTGCTCAGCCTGGTTGTCTCTGCTTTCCAGCTTGTCTCCCCTACAGAGTCCCCAGTAAATGCCCCCTGGTTTGCACATGTCTCAGGAAATGTCACCATCCAAGTGGCCAAAGTTCCCACCCAGTTGCTCCAGATCCATTGTGTCCCCTCCAGCAGGGGTAGCTGAATGTTTACTTACAGAACAGCAGCAATGCCATCCACAGCAGGGCAGGACCTCCCACGGGAGTAGGCATTTCTTCTGTGGTCTCCAGGTGTTGACTGAGTTGGAGAGATCTCTGCGTTCAAAACTGGTCTTAAAAAAGAATAAGTACTGACTGGTCTGGAGAGAACTCTGGTCTCAAAACTAGACTTGAAACCAAAAAGAAGAAGGAAATGTTTTCTGTACCGTATCTGGTTAACTCATCAGCTGAGCATGCGCCTCTTTCTCTGGAGATAATATTCAGGGTGGTGCTGAATTGGGCAATGTTATCTTTACCCCCTTACCCTTATCCTGCTCTCCATTCTACTTTCATGTACATAGCTGGAATATGGTGGGAGAGAGGCGTAGGCCTAGGAATGCAGTCGCCGAGTTTCTTAAACTGTCAATTGATGAACAACTATTTCGTTTGCAATTTACAAAAGTGGGGTACAGGGAAAGAAGAATGAAATAACAATAATTCATTGCTGAATAATTACAATATGCCCTCTAGGTACTATGCTAAATATATATATCTGATACTTCCTTCAGTGCTCACCATAGTCCTATGAAGTAGGTATACTCACTGTGTATACTTTATGGCTAGGAAAACTAGATTTTTGATAGCTTAAGTAACCTGTCTTAGGGTATCATCTAGTAAATGGCTAATCTTGGACTCAAACACCTGAAAGTCAACCCCAGAGTTAAACTTGTAATCATTATGATATGCTGTTTGTACATGTTTGGGTGTATGGTTAGCAATCACTAAAATTCTTTTCAGTTTTACCGGAGCTGCCAACCCTCTTATTACTTAATTTCCTGCTGTGCTATTGGTCCACAAATCCACAAATTTTCATCTAATTCACTGATGAGCCACTATCTGACTAGCCAAGTTGAAGATTTTTTCAGTGACTCTTTCTCTTCCACTGGGTTCTGCTCTGACCCAGAACTCAGAAAGCAGATGTGCAATATCTCTTGTGTGGAATCTAGGCCATATCACATTTATTTTCTTTCACAACTTTTTCCTTTCTTAATTTTATAATCTTCTAGTATGATTATCTCTTTCGCTTTAAGAACACTTCACTTCTCCTCTGCAGGACAATTTGATTAAGTCTTCTTGTTCTTCAGCTCTTGGTCAGAGTTGGCCACCATATTCCAAAACCTAATATTGATGATGATATTGGAGCTGAGAACTCCATAAGTATCAACAGTGGTTTCCCATTTGTAAAGTACTTTTTTGTTCCACATGCAGTATTCTGTTTTTGCCACAACTCTGAAGTAGCAGGGATGACTGCTTAAATCCATTTCACAGCTGAAGTAATGGAGGGACCCTTCTACCATGCCATGCTCTTCCTCATGGACTATTAAATTAAATCTCTTGAATTAAAGACAAAAATACCTCCACATAAAGATCTAAACAAAATTTCCAACTTTAATACAATTAGCTGAGATAGAGACAAAAAGATTACTAAAAAGAAAGCTTCAGGTTAATAGATGTGTTCCAAGACATGCAATATTTTAGTGGTTGATCTTAAAGAGAGCAGCAAGTTATCATGAAAAGTGCAAGTTGTTTGTGTTTAGAGATCTAAGTATTCCTAACATCCATGTGATTAAGATTCTCCTACAAAATAGAAATCATAATGGCTTCCAGATCATGGCTTCTTTTTTGAAAATTTTATTTATAAATCTTCCATGAGAAAGAAAGCCAAAGGCAAAGCATTAATGGCACAAAGGAATTTGGTCTTATCTGTTGAAGATATTTTGTAGTTTTATCAACTGTACTAGGGAGAAATGTTCACCCGTTGAAATATCCACTTTGTAAGCCAAATAATAATGTGATTGAATGTATAAAAGAAAATGAAATAAAAAAAAAATAAAGAAAAAAAAGAAAAAAAAAAGAAGAGAGAGAGTAGCAGAGCTCTCAAATAGGATCACTCTCTTTAAAATTTTTTTTTAATTTGCCAGAGGGCATGTGTATTCATGGGAATATGGGGTATAAGGGACTGGAAAGAGGAGGGAGAGAAAGGCAAGGAAGGTGAAAAAGAATCCCCTCCGTGGGAAATGGCCACACCACAATACCTTCTCCATTTCTCCTTCCTTTGCTAATTTTGAATTTTGGACACACATGTGTGCACAGCATGTTTTACAAGCCACCAGGTCTAGGACTACTTCAACTATGCAGTTGGCCACATGAGATTCAATTGTCTTCTTCGTGTGTGTGTGTGTGTGTGTGTGTGTGTGTGTTTGTTAATAGAATTTTGCTATAGGAGAGGCAGAGAAAGACAGACTGAAAATGATAAGTCACTCCTCAGGAGGGATAACTAGCCACAATTCCTCCTCCTTCATCCTCCTCTTGGGATTTTGGGCATGCATGCACATGCACATGCGGCCAACAAGAGTTTTAAGCCAGAGAGTCTGGAACATGAACTGCAGTTGACTTTGTGCGAGTGATGTAATCATCATGTCATCTGCTCATCCCAGGGATCTAGCAGTCTTAATCACCCCACTACTGGCTGCCCACCCCCCACCCTACAGGATCTTGACATTGAGGTCTATTCCAGCCTCAGCCAGCACCATATCGCGGGCATGAGCTTGCCCAGTTTACTGAGGGTGGTCTCCAGTGCAAACCTAGAACCTTCCCATGCAGGTCATCACATTTTCCTGCTACCCCACTGCCAGACCCAGGGATCATGGTATTATTATGAGATTTCATAATAAATTTGTGAATACTTTGCACAGCATCTGACATATAAAAGGTAATAAACATAGATTTCTTCCTTTATGAACATTCTTTATTACTCTTAGGAAAAATATGAATTTCTACTGGGTTATGGCAATCAGCAACTTACAGAGACTGCTTTTTTTTGATAACCAGTATCTTATGGCAGAATAATTTATCCAAGAAACTCAGTCTTCTCATGGCACTTTAGAAGAAAGTACCATCAAAAAGAATAGGACAAAGAAAGTTGCTTCTTGGAGTTGGAGGAGAAAAGAAGGAATTAAAAAAGGCATGGTTTTTGAGGTGCTATCGGAGGGTGATATTTTAATTCCTCCACCCTGGAAGAGATAGGGACTGATTCTGCTTTACAACTTTGTGGAGAATTTGTCCAGGGAATTTTTGGTTTTCTTTTTCCTAGGACAGTGATCCTGTAGTCAAAGTATCCTTCAGAGACAGTCACTCTACTGTGAGTCAAAAAACCTATTTTAAGTCTTCCTCCGAAGTCTCCACACTGTCCAGCTAGCTTCTACCAAGATGAACAATGGAGTGGGACTCACAGGAAGGTACAGTTCCTAGCTTGGAGAGCATGAAGTCCTAATTTTAGAGAAACCACCTTCACTTGCCTTACAACTTGATAGTGGCCAGCGTTGAAGTGTTCTGGTAGCAGTAGCAGTAGAGATTTAGGAGGTTCAACAAATGCAGTTCATTAAACCTTGAAAAATAACCAAACCACCCATCTGGCCAACCCTAAAAATATAAAATAAAACAAAATCAACAACAATAACTAACAACATCAACGTAAGAAAGAATAAGCTATATTCTAATTCCTACAGTATGTAACTACAGGCAGGCAAAACAAGAACTCAAAACAAATGCATAAAATCAAGTATTAACTTTGTCCCCTCTTCCCTACTCCCAAGCACAACTGGTTCATGTATCAATTGAATTCTACACAACTTTTATCTTATGGAGTTAAAAAAAAAAAGGCCTTCAAATTTAATTTTTAAATTTTTGTTTTAGAGATTTCTGCTATAGGGCATGTGCACTCGCCAGAAAGACAGAGACGCAATGTGAGAAACCACCCTCTGGGAGGATGGCCACACCACAATCCCTTCTCCTCTATTCTCCTTGTGGGATTTTGGGATTGCTTGCCCATATGTCCAGTGTGAGTTTTAAGCCACAGGGTCTGGGACTTGAACCACATGTGGGAGTCCAGTGTTATAACCATTACACCAATTTCTGGTCCCAAGGCTTTCAACTGTTATAACCTCTACCTGAGTGGAGTGTGCTGCAAATTTCTTGTACCCAGTCTGTCAAAATCAAGAACATGCACTCACTGAGATCAGTAAAGTGTTCCTTAATCTTATTTGTTACGACAAGCTTTCTAATCTAGGCACATGTGCGTTCAATTCATAAATAGCAGCATGATGCTTAGATTTTGACTTGTCATTTGTTCTTAGAAGCCTGAAGTTACTGGGTCATGGGAAAAGTCACGATGCATTTTTTTCCGTGTTTTGTCATGGGAAATGCATCATGACTTTTCTGAGCCCCAATATATTCTATTTTGTTATGGTGGGAAAATGGCCATGTGTAACTCATAGAGTCTGTGGACTGCCAAGTGTCCCCGTAGCCAGATCCAGAGTGAAAGGCTTTTTTTTTTTTGAGAGATTTTCGCTATAGGGTGCGTGTGCTCGCCAGACAGACAGAGAGAGACATAGAGACAGAAAGCGAGAAATCATCCCCCAGGGGGGATGGTCACGCCGCAATCCCTTCTCCTCCATTCTCCTCTCGGGATCTTGGGCATGCACGCACACGCGCCCGGCGTGAGTTTTAAGCCACCGGGTCCGGGACACGAACCGCGGTCGACTACGTGGGAGTCCAGCGACATAGCCATTACGCTAACTGCTGGTTCCCCAGAGTGAAAGGCTTTTGAAAGGAGCTTTTGGGCTTGGGGACATAGCTGGCAGAGAGAAAATCAGGGTTCAGCTTCTATGGTGACTTGGATTTTGTTGCATTTCCAAGACTGGAAAGCAGAAAGAGGACCAATGAGCTAGCTTCTTCCTCTTTCTCTAAAGACTCTAAAATTAGATGAGGTCCACATAAAATTGGATAGGAAAATGATGAAAGAACAAAATATTTATCTGCTAATAAATATTGATCTCTCCCTGGGGGGCCAGGAAGAAGGCCAAGTATACGACATGTCTTATTTGTTTTGCTTCTTCTACTAACTCTATGTGGTTAAGAATGAGGAAGATGAGCCCTGCCATCCATGATGGTGCAAGTGGTAGGTGCCACTGTGAGATACTGGACCCACATGGGGATGCCCTAAGTTTGTTTCTGTGGTCAGTCTCAACATGGCAAGCCTGCCTGTGGGTGGGGCAAGTGATCTAGGCTGGCTGGAAGACTGGAAGGAGGATTGTAGTGTGGCAAGACTCTA